GCAGCAAAAGTTTTAGCGCTGAGAAGCACCATTATAGACAGTGCTTTATCACCAGGAGCTGCGCTGCCGGCGAGAAAGCTACCACCCCTCCCTCGGGGTGGCTATCTTTTTATACCCAGGAGAGCTCTCCCCCGGCAATAAAGCGTGACTACACTGCACACATGATATGGGCAGTGTAGACACTCCCTTAGCCCTGGCCTACACTAGAAGTTTAGTTCAACTTTAGCAGCGTTAGATCGATTTAACCCTGTACCCGTCCACACAACAAAGAAATTTTTGTCGACTTGATGAGCTCTTAAAATCTGTTTCTGTACTTCTCCCCGACGAGGGGATTAGCACTGAAATCGACATTGCCGGGTCGAATTTGGCTTAGTGTGGACGCAATTAGACGGTATTGGCTTCCGGGAGCAATCCCGCAGTGCTCTATTGTGACCGCTCTGGACAGTGCTCTCAACTCGGAGGCACTGGCCAGGTAGACAGGAAAAGCCCCAGGAACTTTTGAATCTCATTTCCTGTTTGGCCAGGTGAGCTCATCAGCACAGGTGACCGTGCAGATCTCATCAGCAGAGGTGACCATGGAGTCCCAGAATCGCAAAAGAGCTCTAGCGTGGACTGAACGGAAGGTACTGGATCTGATCGCTGTATGGGGAGACAAATCCGTGCTATCAGAACTCCATTCCAAAAGACGAAAGTCCAAAATATTTTTAAAAATCTCCAAGGGCATGAAGGACAGAGGCTATCACAGGGACCCGCAGCAGTGCCGTGTGAAACTTAAGGAGCTCAGGCAAGCCTACCAAAAAACCCAAGAGGCAAACGCCCGCTCGGGGTCAGAGCCCTAGACACGCCGCTTCTATGATGAGCTGCATGCAATTCGAGGGGGTGCCCCTACAACTACCCCACACCTGTACGTGGACTCCTGCAAGGGAGTCTCAGGCAACAGGGATGAGGATTTTGGGGACAAGGAATATGATAGCGCACACCAGAGAAGCGGAGAAACCGTTCTCCTGGACAGCCAGGAACTGTTTATCACCCTGGAGCCAGTACCCTTCCAACCTGGGCTCCTGGACCTTCAAGGCAAAGAAGGCACCTCTGTGAGTGTACCTTTGTAAATATAATACACGGTTTAAAAGCAAGCATGTTTAATGATTTGCCCTGAAGACTTGGAATGCATTTGCAGCCAGTACAGCTACTGGAAAAGTCTGTTAACATGTCTGGGGATGGAGTGGAAATCCTCCAGGGACATCTCAATGAAGCTGTCCTGGATCTACTCCCAAAGTCTTTGCAAAAGGTTTCTGGGGAGGGCAGCCTTATTGCATCCTCCATGGTAGGACACTTTACCATGGTAGGCCAGTAGCACATAGTCTGGAATCATTGCATAAGAAAGCATGGCAGCATGTGGTCCCGGTGTTTGCTGGCATTCAAGCAACATCCATTCTTTATCTCTCTGTGTTATCCTCAGGAGAGTGATATCATTCATGATCACCTGGTTGAAATAGGGGAATTTTATTAAGGGGACATTCAGAGGTGGCCGTTCCTGCTGGGCTGTTTGCCTGTGGCTGAAAAGAAATCATCCCTGCTGTTAGCCATGTGGTGGTGGGAGGGGTGAAGCGATCATCCCAGAGAATTGGGTGTGTGTGGAGGTTAGTTGGGTTTGTGCTGCATGTTAACCCGAAAACATCAGCCCCTCCTTTTTAAATGGCCAATGTGTCTTTTTCAATTTTACCATCCCCTTTTTTTCCTCACGCAGCTGCAAATGTTTCAACGCTGCCACTAGCATCTCCGTCCCAGAGGCTAGCACAGATAAGAAGGCGAAAAAAATGCACTCGCGATGAAATGTTCTCTGAGCTCATGCAGTCCACCCAAACTGAAAGCCCAGCAGCATGCGTGGAGGCAGACAATGGCAGAGTCCAGGAAAGCACAAAGTGAACACGAGGACAGGTGGTGGGAGCTACAGGAGGGGTGGCAGGATCAAGAGGAAAGGTGGCAGCAACATGATGAGAGGAGGCAAGATGCAATGCTGAGGCTACTGGGGGATCAAACTGATATGCTCTGGCGTATGGTTGAGATTCAGGAAAGGCATGGATGGCTACTGAAGCGCCTGTGTAACCAACCGCCCTCCTCCCCAAGTTCCATAGCCTCCTCACCCAGACACCCAAGAACATTAGGGGGGCCCTCCAGGCACCCAACCACTCCACCCCAGAGGACTGCCCAAGCAACAGGAGGCTGGCATTCAACAAGTTTTGAAGTGCAGTGTGGCCTTGTCCTTCCCTCCTCTCCCACCCCTCCCATGGTACTTTGGCAATTATCCCCCATTTGTATGACGAATTAATAAAGAATGCATAATTTGCAATAACAATGACTCTATTGCCTCTGCAAGTGGTGATCGAAGCAGGAAGGGGAGGGCAGTTGGCTTACAGGAAAGTAGAGTGAACCAAGGGGGCAGGTTTTCATCAAGAAGAAACCAACAGAACTGTCACACCGTAGCCTGGTCAGCCATGAAACTGGCTTTCAAAGCTTCTCTGATGCGCAGCGTGCCCTGCTGTGCTCTTCTAACCACCCTGGTGTCTGGCTGCGTGTAATCAGCGGCCAGGTGATTTGCCTCAACTTCCCACCCCGCCATAAACATCTCCCCCTTACTCTCACAGATATTGTGGAGCACACAGCAAGCAGTAATAACAATGGGAATATTGGTTTCACGGAGGTCTAACCGAGTCAGTAAACTGCACCAGCGCACTTTTAAACGTCCAAATGCACATTCTACCACCAATCTGCACTTGTTCAGCCTATAGTTGAACAGCTCCTGACTACTGTCCAGGGTGTCTGTGTATGGCTTCATGAGCCATGGCATTAAGGGGTAGGCTGTGTCTCCAAGGATAACTACAGGCATTTCAACACACCCAAAGGTTATTTTCTGGTCTGGAAAGTAAGTCCCTTGCTGCAGCTGTTCATACAGACCAGAGTTCCTGAAGATGAGAGCATCATGTACCTTTCCCGGCCATCCCACGTTGATGTTGGTGAAACGTCCCTCGTGATCCACCAGTGCTTGCAGCACCATTGAAAAGTACCCCTTTCGGTTTATGTACTGGCTGCCTTAGTAGTCTGGTCCCAAGATAGAGATATGCGTTCCGTCTGTTGCCCCACCACAGTTAGGGAATCCCATTGCAGCAAAGCCATCCACTATGACCCGCACATTTCCCAGAGTCACTAACCTTGATAGCAGCAGCTCAGTGATTGCGTTGGCTACTTGGATCACAGCAGCCCCCACAGTAGATTTGCCCACTCCACATTGATTCCCGACTGACCGGTAGCTGTCTGGTGTTGCAAGCTTCCAGAAGGCTATCGCCACTCGCTTGTGAACTGTGAGGGCTGCTCTCATCTTGGTATTCTTGCGCTTCAGGGCAGGGGAAAGCAAGTCACAAAGTTCCATAAAAGTGCCCTTACGCATGCAAAAGTTTTGCAACCACTGGGAATCATCCCAGACCCGCAACACTATCCGGTCCCACCAGTCTGTGCTTGTTTCACGGGCCAAGAATCAGCATTCCATGGGATGAGCCTGCCCCATTGCCACCAGGATGACCAAATTGTCGGGGCCTGTGCTTTGAGAGAAGTCTGTGTCCATGTCCTCATCGCTTTCGTCACCATGCTGCCATCACCTCCTCACCTGCTTTTGCAGGTTCTGGTTCCGCATATACCGCATGATAATGCGCGAGGTGTTTACAAGGCTCATAATTGCTGCAGTGATCTGAGCGGGCTCCATGCTTGCCGTGGTATGGCATCTGCAGGAGAGCAGAGTGGCAGCGGAAGCAGTTGTTCAGTGACGATGGTTTGCAGACCTACTGCATCATCTGCTGCCAGGACACAACAGCTGAGCGGACTGCACACTTGCCGTGTTATGACGAGACAAGAGCAGCCAAGCAGAGTTGCAGCAGAAGTGGCCCTGCAAGACCACCAGGAGAGCAGAGTGGCAATGGAAGCAGTGGTTCGATGACGACGCTTAGCAGTCCTACTGCACCATCTGCTGAAAGCAGTATGGCGGCCGCACAGTAAAAAGGCGCGAAACGATTGTCTGCCATTGCTTTCGTGGAGGGAGAGGCGATTGATGACCATGTACCCAAAACCACCCGTGACAATGTTTTTGCCCCATCAGGCATCGGGAGCTTAACCCAGAATTCCAATTGGCAGCAGAGCCTGCGGGAACTGTGGGATAGCTACCCACAGTGCAACGTTCCAAAAGTCGAAGCTAGCCTCAGTACTGTGGACGCACACCGCCGACTTAACGCGCTTAGTGCATTAGTGTGGGGGGGACACACAATTGACTGACTGTATAAAATCGCTTTCTAAAAAATCAACTTCTATAAATTTGACCTAATTTCGTAGTGTAGACATACTCTTAGAGTCTCTGCTCGCCCATCTTCCCCTTTGCTCTTCACCTGCAGTTGCCTCTGCTTGTACATGCGCAATATGTTTTAGTTCTGGGTTAAGTGCATTTAGTTTACCAGAGACTATTTATCTGACGTCCCCTTTGGCCCCAAACCTCAGGGGGTCTGAAAAATGAACCCTGGCTTCAAATCAATATGTAAATGACCCCCAAGAGGGTTTTTTTTTTATAGAGGGCATCCAAAAGCAGGGAGCAGGGTCCCCTGCCTGCAGGCGAGGATCAGATGACCTGACAGTGTGGGTGCCCTCCTGTGGGACCAGCCGGAAATGGAGTTATTGTGTCTCCAGCTCCCTCGTAGGCTCTGCTGTAGCTCTGTCCAAACACTCAGTAGGTGGTGGTGTGTGTTTTGTTATTTGTATCACCGTAGCACCTAGGAGCCCCAATCACGGACCAGGGCCCCATCGTGCTAGGCACTGTACAAACTCAAAACACAGAGTCCCTGCCCCAAGCTGCTTTTTCCCCTCCAGCCTCTGTAGTAGCCCAAACCCCTCAGCCTGGATCATCTTGTTCTCTCCTCCCCCAACTGGCTCCCTGACTCCTGTTCTCTCTGCTGCTTTCCCAGTGCTGGACCAGCTCCTCCCGGAGCTCAGCTTGCTGCTCAAGTTGCTGGATCATGAATACCTGAGCGCTACCACCATGGAGAAGAAACTGGCCGTCTCCACTATCCTGCAGAAGCTGCAGCCCCCTGCAGGTCAGTAAGCTCTCCTTGCCCCTACTCTACCCACCCTCAGCTTCTTCTCCCCCCACTTCTCTCCAGGACTGCCCTGAGGTTTAACTGGCTTTACAAAGGAGGCTCTGCCCCTGACTCAGAGCCGGGGGGCACTGTCATACCTCCAGCCTGCACAGCCTCAGCGCAGGCCTGCTCTATGCAGTGCACTTGCTGTTACAGCATTACATTTTGGAGGATGCCCTGGATGGAAAAGCCTGGTTCTAAATTAGACTAGATGTCAGAACCCCTCTTGGTGCTTTGGGGTAAAGCCTGCCTGTAGGCAGCTCCCAGGCCCTCGCTCCTGCAGCCTATCTCCATCCTGGGGGATTCACAGATCTGTCCGTGGAGCTGGGGAGGAGAAAAGCTTGTCTCAGCCAAGGACTGTCCATGGCAAACAGACATTGCGATCTCCTGGCTGGGGACAGAGGGAGGTTGTAGTTCAGGACTAGACTCCTCTGCAGCAGCGAGGTAATTTGGAGCAGCCGTAGAAACTGCCTTTTCCTTCACCCAGTGCAGTGAATACAAAATGGGGATGCAGAAGACTGAGGTGAGGCATGAATGAACTAGCATTGGCTCTCCTCTAGCTCATCAGGCAGAGCATCCAGCCAGGAAGGTGGAGTGCCCAGCCCTTGGATCTCTCCCTAGAGAGTCATTTATTGCTTGGCTGCATATCAGGCCCCTTTATTGATGAGGCGCATGACTCCCTCTGGTGGTTTTTTTGTGCAAAGAAAGAGTCCTCCAGTTGACCTTGAGTAGCAGAGATACCGGCCTTAAACAATAGCTGGCAAGATCCTGCTGCTCTACCCTTTTGACTTATTCATGCCTTCTGGGTACCGACAAGCTCTCTGTATTTATTATGACTTCACCTGCCGTGCGATGGGAGCTGTAGGTGCTCTGGGACGGAAAGTTCTCTGGTTTTGGTGCGACGGGTCTCCATATCCTCGGCTGAAGCGCTTGCTCATGTCGGCCTTTGGCGCCTTTGGCCTTGGCAAATCCTGGCAGCTCCCTGCCGCAGCAGGGCCCCCATGAGACCTCTTTTCCCCTTTCCCCAGCTGTCGGGCACCCGAGTTACACAGCAGGTGTACGTCAGGCCGCCTGGCACGTCGCTGCACGCTGACACCGGCAGCTCCTGTGCAAACAGGCCCAGCCCAGGGAAGGGAATTGTTGTGACTGGGCTGGAATTGCTCTGCATTTCCTGTGGAAACGCTCATTCCCACCGGCCTTCCTGCCGGCAGTTTCTGCTGAGGGGGGATTTCCATGGAAATCCCAACAGGCCTCACACCTGGAGGGCCGCCTCCTCCCCATGGCAGAGTGAAAATTATCCCTGTGGGACCCTCTGAAATGATCTTCATTGGGATGGAGAGTTCTAGATTTTTCCCCCTCTGCTTCCTTATCCTTGCTCTGTGTCGTTCTGTGCACTCCCAATCCTCCGCCAGCCACCTCCCTGCTGCTCTCCCCTCCCTCGGGCTGCTGTCCTTGGGAACCAGGTGCCCTCGTGAGGGGTGCCTCACATGAGCATGCACAGTCTGATTAGTTGGGCTGGGTGCCCCTATGGCTGCGGTGGTCTCTTGGGTTACAACTCCTGGGGAGCTGGGCATGTGCCCATTTGATGAGTGGGGTCCAACAAAGAGATCTCTGTGCTGGCCATGCCATCCTGCCCTGCCCCTGCACTCAGAAGTTGACTTTGCTCCTCCCCAACAGCGGTAATGTCTTTTCTCCTTCCCAGGGAAGGCTCTGGACTACATGTACGCCAACACAGCAGCCCTGCAGAACAGCACCAGCTTCGTGGAGTCCCTCTTTGAAGAGTTTGGTACGTACAGCTCAGCCAGCTCATCACTGGTCTGGAGACCCCCTTCCACACCTCGCTGGCCATGGAGCTGAACTGCTGTGACTTTCTAGCTATCGCTCCAGCCTATGAGGCTGAGAGCTCAACTCCCACAACCCCAGGCAGAGGGCCGACTCCCTCAGCACTGGGAGTGAAGCCCCATCCTTTACTCTAGGGCTCTAGCCCCTCTTTGTTGGCTGCCCAGGTGATCACTCCCAGGGCAGGGATGGAAAGAGCAGGATGTAACCTTGGTGTAGTGGGAACATTCACAGCACCAATAAAACCAGATCCACTGCCCGAAGCGGGGTGTGACCCCATTGCTGTCACACTGGTCTAGGCAGTTCTTTCACCCCCCTCCCCAATATCTAGCTCACTTTGGGGCACCCAAATACGAACTCGCCTATAGAAACCCCAAAGCTTGTTCCGCTTGGGGAGATGATGATGTGGTGTGAAGTGGACTATAAATGACATTCTTGTGACAACAAGCTAATTCTGGTGTGGGCTAGGGGTGGTCAGTGTATGTAGCACTGAGGAAGAGAGAGGCCTTCCTTGAAGGTCTGTCTGGGGAGCCCTGTCCCTGGCATCATAGCTTGGCTTAGCATCTCTTCTCTAACCCCCCTCCAGACTGTGACCTGCGGGATCTCCAGGATATGCAGGAGGACGATGGGGACACCAGCGAGGGCATTGGCTTGGAGCTCACAAGGAGCCATCCATCTAAAAATGTGAGTCCAGCAACCCCAAAATCTCCATCCCCACAGGTCATTGGGCCCTGTCACAGTCATGTGGTAGTAAAAGGACAAGAATTGGAAGCAATTGGATTGGAACGTGACTATGGCAGTGGATCTGGGCTCCTGGGGGGCTGGGCTGGGGCTTCTCAAGCCACAGTCCCTGCATGCTCTGAGTGGGTGGAAGCAGACAGCAAAAGGGGGAGGGGCTGGGCTCTGGGTTTGATAACCTCTTGGACAGGGAGAGGCACCCACAGATCCAGGAGGATGGGGAGGAGACTTGTTACCTTTCTCTTGCCATTTTGGGAACAGCTCTTATTGATGGCCCCTTGGACATCCTGTAACTCAGCCCCGTCCCGCTCCTTCACTCTAATTGACACTGGTCTCTCTCTGTCTCCTTTGTAGGCTCCTAGGGACCCTCCTCCACCGCTTCCCACAACCCCCCCACCTGAAGATTACTACGAGGAGGCCCTACCTCTGGGTCCAGGCAAGGCCCCCGAGTACATCACCTCCCGCAGTGAGTCCAACCCTGGTAAACAGAAAGCACCTGTGGGGAGGGGACTGGAGAACACCCAGCGGGCTGGCCCCTGGCATGTCTGTACAGTGGCTCTGCAGCTCCCATGCCAGCCTATCAAAACAAGGGGCCCTCGCCAGAGTCCCACAGGGGGCAGCCCTCACTGGCTTGTCTTGGGGACGGCAATGACCTGGGGTGGGGGCAATGGCACTCCTGTCCCTGCTGCTTTCCCATCCTCATGTGGTGGTGGTACCAGGGGCTGTTTGCACCCACCCCTCTGGAAACGCCTCAGTCAGGGCTGAGTGACCAGGAACGTTGAGATCCTGAGGCAAGACAGTCTCTCCCACAGCTGGCTTAGGGCAGGGAGAGGGGGTGGCTAAGGGGCAGAGGGTTCAGTGGGAGCTGGCTTTGATCTGCGTCAAGTCCTGGTCTCTCTGAGGCTTTTGGAATGAACAAAGCCCCAGTCCTGGCTCCTGCTGTGTGCAGAGAGAGTGAAGGGGATCTTCCACCCAGTAGCAACACCTGCCAGGCCCTTCGGGGGTGATGTTACTGGGCTCGCAAGGAGGTACTGTCCAGGGCCTGATATGGGGCTGCTGCCCTGAGCTCCCTTGGGCCGGAGCGCCAACACTCCCCAAGGGAAGGAAGAAACCAAGAGGTTTCCCCAAAGTGGGAGGTTTTGCTTGGTCTTCTCAGCTGTAGGATATCGCCCCTCAAACGCTCCCTCATCTCCTGGCTGCTGAGCTCCATGCCTGTGTGAAGGGCAGCCTGAGGGGAAGGGGACGGAGCGCTCCCAGACCCTGTATGTGAAGGGGGAGTGAGTGCTGAGCCTCCCCGGGAGTGGCTGCGACCTTGGAGGAATGTCAGGAAAGGAGTGGGGTGCTTTTCCCAAACCATGTCACTTGGCAGCTGGTCTCCTTCCTCCTGTGGGTGGAGCTTTCCGGTGGCTCCTGGAGAGCTGGCAGAGGAAGGGAGGGAGGCTTTCTGCTTCTGAGGCTTTTTCAGCTTAGCCTGTGGACAAAGTCCCTCCCCTTATGCCACCACTTCGTGCTTCTATCCAGCTATAACTGCACCCATGTCTAATCCATTACACTTGGCCTTGCTGCGCAGCTCATGTTGGCAACCGTGAGAGCTCCAAGCAGTGGCATGACTTGCTTCAGCGCAGCCTTCTGATGGGTCCTGTCACCAGTGTCTGTGCCATGCATGTGCCGCGTTAATATCCTAGCCCCTATGCAGGGGTCTCCATCACAAATTTCACCCCCTTTGCTCTCATTGCAGATAGCTCCAGTCCCCCCAACTCAATCGAGGATGGCTACTATGAGGATGCCGACAGCAACTACCCTGTTACCAGGATGAATGGGGAGCAGAAAAACTCCTGTAGGTACCAGGGCAAAGACTCTTCAAGACAGGTGCCTAACCAGGGGGAAAGAGCCAAAGGGGATGAGCCATCAGCCTGATGGATGGGGGTGGGGAATCCTACACAGAGCCAAAGAGTACCTAAGCGTCTGCTTGGACCACAGCCCTGTGGTAACCATCAGTGGTAGTTCTGTGGCCTTCAAGGCAGGAATCACTCTAGGTGTCGCAAAGAGAGCGAGGAAGAGAGCCAGGGTCTATTTATTTCTGGCAGTTTATAACCATGTATAAGAGGCACCCACCTGCTGCTCTGGGAGCCCTTGATTTGAGTTAAAGTACCAGTGCAATGAAAACAAAGACAGCAGCAAGCAACCTGAGAAAAGCTCCAGCACAACTCAAGAGGTGGGACTTTCCTTGTCCAGTCTCTTCAGCTGCCTGGGTAAAGAGCTGCATCCTGGAGTATCTCCTGGAGGTCAGTAGTCCCTGAGCAATTCAGACATGTACGCTGCTCTTACACAGGCTGCTCAACAAACAGTCAGGCCTCTTGCATGTCCTAGCCATTGATTTGATCCAAGAGAATCTCTCCATCTAAAGAGAAGGTTTGTCACATGTAAGAGGTCACTTAGAACCCTCCATGTTTTGCATATTTCATAAAGAGAAATGCTAGTGCAAGTTGGATAGGAGCTGGAGGAAAATAGAAATCGTTAGCGTTGAACTGCTGCTGATCCAGAGTTTTATCCTCCATTCCCCCTTGCCCCCTCCCCGCGCACAAAGGCTTTCTCTCCCAAGACACTGCTAGGAGAAGGTGATCCTCCAGGCTGAAGTCCCACTCCGTGTGCAGGGCATTGGAGCTCCGTTGTCGATAGCATCCTGGGGTGACTGGGAGGGTCTCTGCTTCCTTCCAGACAATGACTCTGATGCGATGAGCAGCTCCTATGAGTCATACGATGAAGAGGAGGAGGATGGGAAGGGCCAGCGGCTGACACACCAATGGCCATCAGAGGAAGCTTCTATGAACTTGGTGAAGGACTGCAGGATTTGTGCCTTCCTGTTGCGTAAGAAGCGCTTTGGGCAGTGGGCCAAGCAGCTGACGGTCATCAAGGACAACAAACTTCTGGTGAGACTTCAGCTTCTGGAGTGCAGGGGGACCCAGGATACAGGAAATCTTTGGAGCAATCCAGAGTCTGAGAGATCCTGGGCTGGAGAAACAGGGAGCCTCCTGTGTATAGGGTGCAAGTGAGCCAAGTGCACCAAAGGACAGACAGGGATTGGCAAAGCTGCTGCTTTCAAGTGGCCTAACCATGTATGTTCAGTGAATTGTTTGAGTAAATGAAAGGGTGTGTCTTCCATGGGGATGTGAGTGGGGCCAAGACTGCCTTTCATGGCAATGTTGCATATCTAATCCATACCTGCCGTGCAGGATAACAGCACCCCTGGAAGCATTTATACCGCGAGGCCCACAGTCCAGATCTCTACCCAGAAGCCATCTGGGTTCACCCTGTATATTTGTCACTGGAAAAATTAATGCAAAACGTCATGAGTAGAGTCCTCATGCAGGTCAGTTAGCTGGGAGACCGTGTGGCCCAGAGGGTAGGGTACAGGACTATCCAGGTTCTGTTCCTGGTTCTGGTGTTGTCTGGTGGTGCGAGCAGGGACTCCTGGGTTCTGGTCCTGGCCCCTTCTGTGACTTTGGCTGATTCACTCCCCTGTAGCTTCCTCCTCTGTAAAATGAGGCTAATGATACTGTGCCACATCTGTGAATTACTACGAGGTCGCTAGATGAAGCCCTGTGTAAGGGCAGACAGAGCTTCAGCAGGGATATTCCCCCTTTGTGCTAACATGCTCACGCTCCACTGCCTGGCAGGAGATGCAGTCAGGCCTCGACTCTGTGGGAAACAATTGTCTCCACTTCTTTTAGTGCTACAAAAGCTCCAAGGACCGGCAGCCACACCTGGAGGTGCCCCTGAGCGCCTGCAGCGTCATCTATGTGCCCAAGGATGGGCGCCGCAAGAAGCATGAGCTGCGTTTCTCTCTGCCAGGGGCCGAGGCCCTGGTGCTGGCAGTGCAGAGCAAAGAGCAGGCTGAGGAGTGGCTGAAGGTACCTCTTACTGTAGCTTATGCCTTTCTCCCTAGCCCACGCCACTGGCCACACAGGCTTCCTCCCCCCTCAAAATCCAGCCTTTCCCCATTTGACCAGCCTTTGTCCTTCTGGTGGAACCTCCTCCGTGGTATGGTGCTGTCTCAGTACATGGCCTAGCTCCTGTGATCCCTGTCTGACATAAGTGGGTAGGCAGGTTAGCTGCCTTCCTGGGAAAGGCCTGGCTTCCAGGGCTGCCTTATCTCTGAAGGGAAGGGGATTTTCCACCCTTCTTTTATCATTCCTGCCAGACTGGGACACCAGCTGTGGGGTGAGCTACCAGGCCCAGGGAGCCTTGGCCCCTTTCCGCTCCCTGTGTGATAGGCTGGAGTCCCATGGGCAAAGGGAGAGGGGAGCTGTTTGTTTACCCTCCCCCTCCTTTTTCCTGCCTTTGTTCTGCCAGTGGGAGGCTGTGTAGCTTGGAAGCTGTTTGGTGAAGTCACCAGATCTGCCTCTGAGCTGGCAGCGTGTAAAGGCCTGAAACAGGAGTGTGTTTAAATAGCACCATCTTGCCCCTGGGGAGTATGAGCCCCTGCCCACCCCAAATCTGCCGATGTGGGGCATTTCACCGCTGAGAGATTGGGACGCCAGCCTGCCCCATTTCTGCCCCCCCTGCCCCATTACACTGCACTCCAGGGCTCCTGGTGCTGTCAGATCTGCCCTACCCAGCCTGGCTACTGCATGTGCTTTGGTGAAGGGCCATGTGGGGGAGGGAGAGGGATGGGAGAACTTCTCCCAGGCTGAACCTGTGTGGAGATTAGCAAGAAGTTCTGGTCACCCTTATTGCCCACATTATGACTGTAGCAGCTTTTCGTCACCCCTCTCCTTTCCCTGGCTGGCAGGGATGGGACGTGGGAAGGCTGAAGTAGGGTGAGCTGTCCTCATGCCGTGTCCATCTACCCAGAGAGCCTAGGTTCACCGCAACCTCACAGGAAGGATGGTCAAGGCCCTAGTCTGGGACTTAGGAGATGCAGGCTCAATTCCCTGCTCTGCTACAGCCTTTCTGGGGATCAGTACATAAGATTGTGAGGTGCTCAGACGCCATCTATGGTGATGGGGTTGTATAGGTACCTTGGGCAGAACCCCTGTAGGAGATGGACAAAGCCTCCCAGATCAGCTAGCTGGAACCCAAGGGGCCTTTGTGACTGTCGTCCGAGTCCTCGTTAAATGCCCCTGAACCTTTTTAACGGCCAAACCGTTTATTATCTCAAACAGGACTTTGTGGAGGGAGTTTTAAGAAGACCCTGCTCCAAAGGGAGCTTTGCAGGGTGCCATATGCTGCTTTGTCCCCTCTGGAAGGCAGCAGGGAACGGGATCAATCATTCCAGGAAGGGATAATTCATAAACAGCTACAGCAAAATGCAGTTTGTTGTGGTTGGGTCAAGCTGTGTGGTCAGAGCTCCCCGGTTACTGGGGTAACGACTAGGGGCTCAGTCGCTCCCAATGGGTCCTGAGAGGCCGGTGCTGAGTGGTCTGTCTCCACAGGTGATAAAGGAAGGGAGCAGTGCCAGTGGAGGAGGAACAGGTGGGACTGAAGCCCCTACATCCCCTGTGCTACATTGCAAGATGGACCTTGACAAGGTGTCCTGTTCTCTGTCTCTCCCCTGGGGGTTAGTGATACACAGCAGAAGGGAACAGTGACTAAACTCACAGGAATCAGGCAGCTGAAGGCTGGGTTTCTGGGTTCTACAAGATCAGCCTTGCTCCCAATGTTTGCATGGCCCTTCTGTGGCACCCCCTATGATAGCAGAAGGGGACCCCCTCCAATTGGTGACAAAGAGCCAAGACCACCTCCCCAGCCCGCCCTGGAATGGAGATGGGGGTGGGGCATATGCCCTTTCCTGTCCCCCTGCCTAGGGTGGGACTATCAGGAGCTAGGCTGGACACCGACCTTTGCCAGACTCGCAGAACTCTGGTCAGGGATGGTCACTCAGTGCAGCATTGAAGTGGTTAAAAGCCATGGGGACTCATGCGGGAGGAAGGGATTGGGAGAGGAACTGCACTGAAATGGATGCCTGCCCTCCTCCCCACAGAGGTTATCACAAGACAAACAGGCATCTGACTCTGACAGCGTGGCAGCAGGAGAGAACTGCACCCCCATGAGCCGAAGGGAGCACGGTGAGAGCCCCAGCCCTGCTCTGACCATTGTGGGCCCATGAGCTGGCACTGCTGTGGGGAGGGGAGGGGAGGGTCCACCCCACTGTAGAAAGCATCCTCCCACCTCATCACCTCTCTGCAGTTGTCTCAAAAAGCTGCCTGCTGCAGGGAGGTAGGAAGGGGGCACGCCTGCTGGCACAGCTTCCCCGTACTGCCATGCGGCCCTGCTGCATGTGGTGGAGTTGCTAAAGCCCCTGCCATGGAGGAATATTTACATCCTCTGCCTAATCTGCCCCTGGCTCCATGCGCCAGTCCTCTGAAGTGCAACAGTTGCTGGGGGTGGGGATGTCCTGCTCTTTCCCAGTCAGTGTATCTCTTCCCACTCTGCCCTCCCCTCCCTGCCACTGTCTGACACCCAAAACCCCTTCCTGCTCTCATTGCAAATCCCAGCCTGAAGGACAGCACCATAGTGACCTCTCCGCTTTGGCCAGCCTGGGTGTGGGGACTTGCTGTTTACTCCTGAGCTGAGCTCTCCTCCCTGTTCTCAGGGAAAGGCAAGAAGAGCGGCTTGGCTGAACTGAAGGGCTCAGTGAGCCGGGCAGCAGGGAGGAAAATCACCAGGATCATCAGCTTCTCCAAAAAGAAGCCGTCCCCTGAGGACACGCAGACGTCCTCCACCGAGGAAGACCTCCCCTGCTGTGGTTCGTACCTAGGGCTCTGGGGAGATGGAAGCAAGAAAGGGGTATTCTGGGTCTAGGTGGATGTTGTTCCTAGGGGACTTGGTGCCAGGTGTAAGTTGTGCCACAATGCCTTTCTCTTGCCCACGGGCCAGACCACCCAGAAGAGGGATGGGGATGCTATCCAAGACACAGGGAATTTCACTATTTCCTCTGAATTCCACCCATCGCTCACGAGCCCTGTGACAGCATCGGAGATTCTGCCATGACATGGAAGGGGATTTCTTGCTACAAGCATGTAGCCTGGGATTGACCTCCTCCATCCCTTATGTATATACACCCAGACACACACACCTTTTCTAGCTCAGTGTCCCCAGTCCATGATCACAGGACCAGACTGTTTCACCCAGGGCACAGCACTCCGGGTACACATCTGTGGAGGTGCTGGGGACTACACAGCTGTTAGGTGCTCTCTATGTTAAGTGCCATTTGAACAGGGTGATTTGGTTTTCTCTCTTCCAAGCTAGAGCACTAGAGCTAAAGCCTGCAAGTTACATAAACAATTGGAGCAAGTTATTAAACAGGGATCGCCAACCTTTGGCACGTGGCCTGCTAGGGTAAGCCCCCTGGCGGACCAGGCTGGTTTGTTTAACTGCCACATCCACAGGTTCGGCAGATCGCAGCTCCCACTGGTCGTGGTTTGCCGCTCCAGGCCAATGGGGCTGCGGGAAGCCGCGCGGGCCAAGGGTTATGCTGGCCGCCGCTTCCCGCAGCCCCCATTGGCCTGGAGTGGTGAACCGCGGCCACTGGGAGCTGCGATCGGCCGAACCTGCGGATGTAGCAGGTAAACAAACCGGCCCGGCCCACCGGGGGCTTACCTTGGCAGGCCATGTGCCAAAGGTTGCCGATCCCTTTATTAAACAATCAGTTTGTAAATACCCAGAGAAAAGGAGAGTTATAAGGAATAGCCAGCATGGATTTGTCAAGAACAAATCATGCCAGACTAACTTAATTTCCTTCTTTGACAGGGTTACTGGCTTAGTGTGTGGGGAGAAGCAGTAGATGTGATATGTCTTGATTGAGTAAAGCTTTTGGCACAGTCCACACGACATTCTAATAAGCAAACTAGGGAAATGTGGTCTAACTGAAATTTCTATAAGGTGGGAGCACAACTGGTTGAAAGACAATAGTCACTTAGTCAGAGTAGTTGTCAGTGGCTTGCTGTCCAACTGGGAGGGTGTATCTCGTGGGGTTCCACAGGGCTCAGTCCTGCGTTTAGTACTAGTCAATATTTTCATTAATGACCTGGATAATGGAGTGGGGAGTATGCTTATAAAATGTGTAGATAACACCAAGCTGGGTGAGGTTGCAAGCATTTTGGAGGACAGGATTAGAATTCAAGGCAACCTTGACAAATTGAAGAATTAGTCTGAAATCAACAAGATGAAATTGAATAAAGACAAGTGCAACCTACTTCACTTAGGAAGGAAAAATCAAATGCACAGCTACAAAAGGGGGAATAACTGGCTAGATGGTAGTACTGCAGATCTGGGACCACATAGTGGATCACAAATTGAATGAGTTGACAATGTAATGCAGTTGCAAAAAAGGCTATAATTATTCTGGGGTTTATTAACAGTGGAGAAAGTCCAGAGGAGAATAACAAAAATGATAGGTCAGGTTTTCTAAATCTTTTATGAGGAAAGATTAAAAATACTAGCATGTTTAGTCTTGAGAAAAGAGAACTAAGGAAGGACCTGATAACAGTTTCCAAATATGTTAACGGCTGTTATAAACAGGGTGGGAATCGGTTGCTCCTCATATCCACTGAAGGTAGGACAAGAAGTAATTGTTTTATTTGCAGCAAGGAATATTTAGGTTACATATTAGGAAAAACTTTCTAACTGTTAAGACCTGGAATAGACTTCCAGGGGAGGTTGTGGAATCCCCATCATTGGAGGCTTTTAAGAACAGGTTGGACACACCTGTCAGGGATGATCGAGGTTTACGTGACCCTGCCTCTGTGCAGGGGGCTGGACTTTATGACTTCCCAAGGTGCTTTCGAGCCCTATGATTCTATGAGTTAGTAACAGGTTTCATAGTGGTAGCCGTGGTAGTCTATATCAGCAAAAAAAACCTAGGGTCCTTGTGGCCCCTTAGAGACTAACAAATTTATTTGGGCATAAGCTTTCATGGGCTAAAACCCACTTCATCAGATGCATGGAGTGGAAAATACCGTAGGCAGGTATAAATATACAGCACATGAAAAGATGAGAGTTGCCTTACCAAGTGGGGGGTCAGTGCTAATGAGCCCAATCCAATCAGGGTGGATGTGGCCCATTTCGCTACAAAAAGTAATTTCCCCCTCTATTGATATTCACCCCTTCTTATCAACTGTTGGAAATGGGCCACATCCACCTTGGTTTTTTTGAGTTAGTAAGTTGCTCAGAAGATAAGCATCCTCTGAGATAAGATGCTGCTAAAGAAAATAAATGAAGCTCCATGTCTGTCTGTCTGTCTGAGATACTCATACTGGCCCCCATTCCCATAACACCCAAGTGCATCACAATCTGGGATGTAGCTATCCTTGCTACACCCCTGGGAGATAGGGATGTGCTGTTATTCCATGGGGAACTGAGGCACAGAGACCAAGTGATCAATCACACAGACTATCTGCTGTGGAGCTGGAAATGGTCTCCTGAGTCCCAGGCTAGTGCCCTAACCACTGGACCATTTACCTCACGAATTCTGCCCCCAGAAGGGAGGGGATGAGCATGGTGACCGCATAGGGCTTCTGCATCTATAGTTTCTGTGGACAAATCCTAATGTCCTTACTTGGGTAAACATCCCGTTGACTTCGGCAGAGATTTTGCAGAGTATGAACTTACTAAAGACCAAGCCGCACTTGGGCCTTTGATGTTTGAGTTCTGCAGTTTTAAGGGGCAGATCTCTGGGTGCCCAGAGAGAGGGTCCTGCCCCAGTGCAGTGCTTTGTGGAGTGCTTCCACTGCTGGAACAATGTGGGGGAATAAGGCCTACCCAAAGGTAGGGAGATGGGCAGTGATTCACTGACAGGCCTGGACGTATTTTGGTAGGATATTGCAGAGCAGCATTTCAGACTCTGGGTTTGTCTACGCTGCAGTTAGACACCCATGGCTGGCCTGTGCCAGCTGACTTGCGCTTCTGGGGCTTGGGTTGCAGGGCTGTTTAACTGTGGTCTACATGTTTGGGCTTGGGCTGGAGCCCCAGCTCTAGGACCCTGTGAGGTGGGAAGGTCCCAGCTGCAGCCTGAGCCTGAACGTCTACACTGCAATTAAACAGCCTCTTAGTCCGAGCCCTATGAATCTGAGTCCGTTGGCACAGGCCAGCCGTGGGTGTCTAATTACAGTGTAGACAGACCCTCTGACAGAAGTACAGCAAGACAAGACAACATTTTGGAGCCTCCCGCACTGCCCCTATTGGCTCTCGCTTTTCACCTTCCCCTTAGCATCATGCTTGTTGGTTCATTAGGTCCAGCTGAAATGCACTGAGACTCTCTTCCCTTGGGGAACTGGCTCTCCCTGCAGGTTACCTGAATGTCCTGGTTAACCAGTGCTGGAAGGAGCGTTGGTGTTGCTTGAAAGGCAACACGCTCTATTTCCACAAGGACCGCTCCGACCTGCGGACGCACGTGAATGCCATCGTCCTGCGTGGCTGCGAGGTGGTGCCAGGCCTGGGCCCTAAACACCCGCTTGCTTTCCGCATCCTTCGCAGTGGGCAGGAGGTCTCTGCCTTGGAGGTGAGTGTTTCATTCTCAGCGGCTCCAAGTGAGGCACGCAGGCTGTGGAGGCTTTTCCTGCCTTTTTCTGGAAGGTATGGACGGGCAGTTTGGGTCCAAATCCTGGGCTGTTTGTTTCCTTAAGGGTTTAACGAAACCCAGAACTGAACAGAGACACAGAATAGAGTCTAATGGGAAACCTCCAGGGACAATTTAACTTACCCCTTCCCTGGCTGTGCTTTGAGACCCCAAACTCAGCCAGGTGGGCTGGTGCATGGCCTGGGCAAGTGAAATTGACTAGAACCAAAAAGCAAAGTCCTGTTTCACTGCTGAGCCCAGCCGAATGCATGCGATCACATAAACCATGCTGAGCAGCCTCTGAAATTCTTTCATTAATCATCTGTGGTGCACCTCGTTACACAAGCAAGGGATTTGGGGTCTTTTAAATCTAATCTTTATCTTGGCAAGATCCCTTAGGCTATGTGAAGTTTTTATTCCATAATTGATTAAAGCAAGCATGCGTGGGGCGCCCTGTTAATGTGTTTCAGACAAGTGAAGGTAATATACAAAGTAATTTCACTTGGGTCTGAATGACTGTATAAGGGCAGCCCAGATGCTGATAGTATCTGCACAGAGAAGCTGCTGGATTGGTTGAACCAGGCAAATCACGGCAGGTGAATGAACTCATTTGACTCTTAGCTTCAACCCAACAGCTCCTCCACACAGGAGCGGAGCTTAGCAGGTGCTTGGGCTGATGGAATCCAGCTCAGTACCATGTGGAGAGAGCAACCTCATTCTCTAGGGAGGGTAACGTCTTCCCATTTCCCCTGGGAACCCCTTCACTACACAGGGTTGAAGACGTACTGCGTCTCAGCACGTGGGTTGCATATGAGCAGAGGCCTGTGCTTTCTTGTGTGGCATGGGTGGGTTGGGCTGGTGTGGGGAGACCCAAAGCAAGGAGGCTTTGGGGGGTGAGGGGAAATATTGCTGTAACTCCGTGCCCATGCTCTGCAGGATATGGGTCATCTACCTGGAGAGATGTGAAGGGGAGGTGCGTATCCAGGGGCCAGATGCTCACGATGATGGCTTTCTCACCCCCTAGGCAAACTGCTCTGAAGATCTGGGCCGCTGGCTTGGCATCCTGCTGGTTGAGACTGGCTCCCAGAAAACCCCGGAGGCCTTGCACTATGATTACGTGGATGTAGAGACAATAGCCAACATAGTCACTGCTGTGCGACACTCCTATCTGTAAGGGGCTCTCCTCCCATTGCTTCAGAGCTTTTGTTAAGGCAATGGGGGGGATGGGGGGGTGTGATCCAGCTCCGGCATGAGGCTCACCTGGTGCCCACTCCCTCTCTGCCTGGACCTGGGAGAGCAAAACTCCCTGTGAGGCCATCCCAGCCAGCACTTCCACCATGGATGCATCTTGTGTCTTCAAACCCTGGTGGCAACAAAGCTCCAAGTCATTGAATGCAGCCTCAGAGCCAGAATAAACCACCTGCCGCATGAGTAGCATTGTGGGGTAGGGACATGCAGCGGGGAAAGCAGCGGTGGGTTATGATTTGTGGGGCCCTGAGCCATGCGTGCCTTATAAAAGCTGTCTAGGGACTGGTGCTCAGGATGGGACCTGGCAGCTCTGGCTGTGCTGAGTGGACTTGGTCAAGTCACCGCATCTCTGTGCCTCGTTTGCCCCTGGAATGGGATATCTACTACCACATTTCCAAAAGTGTGGGGCACCTGCCTCTGAGAGGTGGGGAGGCAGTGCCTGACTGGCTTCATTTCCCTGAAGCAGGACTTGGCTCGCAGTGGTTTGGGGACTGCATGGGGGAGGGGAGGCAGGGCTAACTCGTGAAAGTTTGCAAAGTTTGCTTTGAGATCTTTGGGTGGAAGGAGCTAGAGAAGGATGGCATGTTGCCGCTGTGTGGGAAGGGGCTGACGCACTCTTATCTCCCCGTCCCTTCCTCCCCAGGTGGGCCAGCGCCTCCCACGAGAGCCAGGCTGACTCCTCCCGGGTGGTGTATGATGACGTCCCCTACGAGAAGGTGCAGGTACGAATGTGGCTTGCTTCCTATCACGCTCCCCCCGGAAAGGCCACGGTCCTTCTCCCACCCAACCTCTTGCAACCCCCAAGTAACTGAATGCTGGGGAGACAGGCGCCCCCTTCCCCTCAGTGGCACTTGGGGCCCATGGTTTCTCAGCAGCCACCCTGCCCTGAGTGCGGATTTCTGCTCCTGCCTCGTAGTGATGCCATGCAGCGTCTCTGCTGGGATCGGTTTTTCATTGCATTCATCCATGCAGGTAGAGGAGCCACCGCGGCCGTCCGGGGCCCAGGTGAAGCGCCATGCCTCGTCCTGCAGTGAGTCGTCACGCCGTGTGGACCCGCAAGTCAAAGTCAAGAGACATGCATCAAGTAGGTTGAGATTCGCCTGCTGGCCAATGTGCTTTGGGACCAAACCTCAGCCACACGGGAGAGGGCTAGTTGGCTCAGGGATTGGGACTTCCCATTTCTGGCCACCATTTCCTATCGAGCCCCAGGTCACTAATGGCAGGAGCCCTTCCCAGCCCTGGCTGTTCCATGAGATGAGCTGGTGGGGTCTTAGTCCCACGTGGGCTAGTGATGGTCACAGGTGGCCATGTGTCCTTTAGGAACTGGAGTAACTGGTTGCATGATCTGAGGGGCCTGCAGCTTCTCCTTACCAGCTGGGGCTCTGGTATGTTGGCCTGCTGTGGTGAGTGGGAAGTGTGAACTGCCCCTGCTAAGGACAGAGTGGGGACTCAGCTGCTCCTCTGGCACCTTTCACCTGCCCTGAATTCACTAACAAAAAGCGACCCCTCCACAGGCAGTGGGGAAGGAGGTGCCAGTTTCAGGCTGATCCTGCATGGGCTTCAGTGCGTTCTCCTCTGCCTCCTGGGAAGACTGATGTGATGCCCCTGTTCCCAAAAGCAGCCCCTTCTCCCCACCATGGCCTAGTGGAGCCTTGGGAGTGACCGGCTCATCTGTGACACTCCCATCATGGAAACTGAGGCGTCAAGGCTGCAAGTCCTGAACTCGTCTCGCTGAGCCTGCATTTGCGCTCTCCTCGATCGAGGCGGAGGCCAGTGTGCAAACTCCCTGCTTGACCAGCTGTGTCCTTGTTCTGTAGATGCCAACCAATACAAGTATGGGAAGAACCGGGCTGAGGAGGATGCCAGGATGTTCCTGACGGAGAAAGAGAAGCTGGAGAAGGAGAGAGCTTCTATCCGGAATGAGCTGGTGACCCTGCGGAAGGAAAAGAGGGAGCTCCGGGAGGCCATGAAAAGCAGCACAGGTATGGAGCCTGCTGCGGCCTGGGAAGGAGAGAAAATACCCCCCTGGCTGATCTGACCCGAGCCCCGCAATAGGGGATCATGGCAACAGTCACTAGACCAGAGAACATCTCAGCAATGAGGCTGGTGGATTTTTAATGCCCAACAAAGCAGGGATGAGTCAGGGTGAATAGAACCCAGCAAAATGGTGCAAGTTTCCTCCAACCAGCTCTGCCAATGCCCCCTAGCCTGACCTACTGCTGCTGACCTGTTCTGGTCCCAGCTCTGGCCACCCACCGGTAAGGCTCCCTGCTGGTCCTCCAGGCTTCTCATGAGCATGACAGTCCTGTCATCTCCTTGGCCACACCCTGAACCCGAGAAAGCCCCTTCCTCTCTCCCCTCCCAACTGAACAGACAGGCCCACCTCCCTTCTTTGCTAGCCAGTAGTGTAGTTGCCAACTATTAGTCAGCAGCAAACTCCCACTCCTACCCCTGCTCCCCCATAGGGGTTGCACATGACTGTACCATCTTCTTTCCCAGCCCTGGTGCTGCTGGCTCCCTGCTGGCCCAGCACCAGCATAGATGCAGTAGAAAGCTCTCTGCTGGAGCTGCTGTGTTCCTTTGTTCCTCATACTCCTTGTTCCTGGCACCCCTTTCAGAGCAGGGGCGGTGCCTTCAGCCCTCTGCCAGGCTGGCTAGTGCTTTCCACTCCGCTGGGCAGAAAACTGGGGCCCAGCTGTCGTGCTGAGTCAGCAGGGATCTGACCACCTGCTGCTGTGGCCACTTCAAACTGTGCCTAACAGCATCACCTAGTGGCCGAACAGGTGTGTCCCCCTCCAGTAAAGAGGCAGGTCATTGTATTGTTTCCTTTTCAGCTTCTAAGGTTGAAAAGCCAGAGCAGGAAACGTACTAGTACTACACAGGAGAACCTCAAGAGTTACAAACACCTCGGGAATGGAGGTTGTTCATAACTCTGAACAAAACATTCTGGTTCTTTCAAAAGTTTACAACTTAACGTTGACTTCGTACAGCTTTGAAACTTTACTATGCAGAAGAAATATGCTGCTTTCCCTTTACTTGTTGTTAGTTTACATTTAACACTGTACTGTACTGGGAGTTTTCGTCTCTGCTGCTGCCTGATGGTGTGATTGACGGGTCAGTTTGTAACTCTGGTGCTTGTAACTCTGAGGTTCTACCGTACTAATAAATCCTAGCAAAGGAGTGAGGCTGCAGCAGGGCATGGTTAACAGGTATCTGACACTAGAAACAGGCCCTCACCAGAACAGCTGATCTGCGATCTCCTAGCTGCTGGCACATCACTGCTGCCCCCAGCAAACCACACTCACTGGAGGGGGTGGTAAATTTGGGCTCTGGAGTCTCCTTCACTCTACAAACTCTCTCTCTCCCCGGCTCTGTGCTGAGCCGATGGGACCTGATTGGTCTTGTTCCTTGTCTCATTCAATCAGGGAGGAAGCTGAAGGAGCTGGAGGAGCGGGTGGCGGCCCTGGAGGAGCAGTGCAAAGGGAAGGAGGAGCAGCGCGTGGACCTGGAGCTCAAGCTGACGGAGGTGAAGGACCGGCTGAAACAGTCGCTAGCAGGAGGGCCGGCTCTGGGGCTCATCATGACCAGCAAAGCTGAAAATGGGGTACGGAGTCGCCTTCCTTTCCACAACCCTGGTCTCCCAGAGGGTTCCTGCTCCCCTGCAGAATCATAAAAGACTAGGGTTCATAGAATATCAGGGTTGGAAGGGACCTCAGGAGGTCATCTAGTCCAACCCCCTGCTCAAAGCAGGACCAATCCCCAACTAAATCATCCCAGCCAGGGTTTTGTCAAGCCAGGCCTTAAAAAACCTCTTAAGGATGGGGATTCCACCACCTCCCTAGGTAACCCATTCCAGTGCTTCACCACCCTCCTAGTGAAATAGTTTTTCCTAATATCCAACCTAGACCTCCCCCACTGCAACTTGAGACCATTGTTCCTTGTTCTGTCATCTGCCACCACTGAGAACAGCCGAGCTCCATCCTCTTTGGAACCCCCCTTCAAGTAGTTGAGAGCAGCTATCAAATCCCCCCTCACTCTTCTGTTCTGCAGAATAAATAAGCCCAGTTCCCTCCACCTTTCCTCGTAAGTCATGTGTCCCAGCCCCCTAATAATTTTCGTTGCCCTCCGCTGGACTCTCTCTCCGATTTTTGTCCACATCCTTTCTGTAGTGGGGGGGCCCAAAACTGGATGTGATACTCCAGATGTGGCCTCACCAGTGCTGAATAGAAGGGAATAATCACTTCCCTCAAATTGCTGGCAATGCTCCTACTAATGCAGAAGGGTGGGACTCTTTTTTTTTTTTTTTTTCTTTCTATTGGCTTGTGCCTGCTTCAGGTGGGAGACATAGGGATACAAGCAGAGGGCCAATGCACCTCAGTCTCGAGACCCGCAACCTCCCCTCTGCTATGCTCACCCCATCCCACTCAAGGCAGCCCTGCCCTGCAGCCCATGGCTGTCTTGCTATTTGGCCATTCCAGTCCTAGGATTTTCTCCAGCTGTGTGGTGACCCCTCAACCCCTCTACTATTCCAGGCCTGGGCTCCCACCAGCTCTGCCAGTGCCCTTCAATGTTTAGCCTATCCCAGCAGTCCATTAGTGGATGGTAAATGTTCCTTGCCACATTCGGAAGCTGTGGAGTGTGCTTTAATCTGGGTTCCCTAGCTGTCTCCCTGTCTCCTGCTGTCACTGCTTTCTGGGTCTCTAAAGGGTTATTCTCACCCCCAGGAGACTGGCAATAAGCCGAATGGGAACCCCACAGAGCACTTGGTCCCAGTGAACTGTGCAGCAGAAATGAGGAAGAGGAGCCCCTCCATCCTCCCTGCCAACAAGGGGAAAGTGCTGCAGAAGGCCAAGGTACAGCTGTGCTCTCCCAGCCCGGCAGCATCCTCCTCCACCTCACCAGCAGGTGTTTGGGCACTGCACCATCCCTAGACCCTGAGGCCGGGGAATCAGCTGGTCACCTCTCCCCCTTCCATTCCTGGCTTCCCCCAACACCACACTCTACTGCAGGGGTGGCCAACCTGTGGCTACCCCTGCAGTCACATGCAGCTCTTCCAAAGTTACTATGCGGCTCTTTGTATAGGCACCAACTCCGGGGCTGGAGCTACAGGCGCCAACTTTCCAATGTGCCGCGGGGTGCTCGCTGCTCAACCCCTGGCTCTGCCACAGGCCCTGCCCCCACTCCACCCCTTCCCGACCCCTCCCCTGAGCCTGCCGTGCCCTCGCTCCCCCCTGCCCCCGAGCCTCCTGCATGCCACAAAACAGCTGATCGGGGGTGGGCAGGGAAAGGCGCTGATTGGCGGGGCTGCCGGTGGGCGGGAGGCGCTGGAGCTGATGGGGCGGGGCGGGGGGGGGATGCTGACGTATTACTGTGGCTCTTTGGCAACGTACATTGGTTAAATTCCGGCCACCCCTTCTCTAATGCATCAGTCGCTCTGCCAGGTTCTGCAGAGCCGCCTGCCCTATGGCTGCTGAGGGGGTGGGAAGCCTTGGGACTTGGGAGGAACCAGGCTGGCTGGGGGAGCTCATGGAAGTGCCAACTTATGACCCGACTTCCAGGGCAATGGTGGTGACTCAGTCACTGAAGACTGTGGAATCTAGAGAGGCCAAAGCCCTGTAGCAGGCAGTAGCGCAGGGAGCTGGCCTGGCTTGGTCCCTGAATGGCGGAGGTAGATCGGGCCTCCTCAGGCTTTCCCCATCTCTAATTTCCACACAGTCTCTCACAAGCTAAAGAAGCTACTCAGAGCTGTACCCTGGCCCACCAGGGTACGTCTGTGCTGCAATTGAACGCCCGCGGCTGGCCCGTATCAGCTGAATTGGGCTCGTGGGGCTCGGGCTGCGGGGCTATAAAACTGCCATGTAGACATTTTGGGCTCAGGCTGGAGCCTAGGCACTGGGACCTTTCTGCCCTCCCAGGGTCCCAGAGCCCAGGCTCCAGCCTGAGTCCGAACGTCTACACAGCAATTGTACAGCCCCAGTCCCGCGAGCCTGAGTCAGCTGCTGTGGGCTGGCTGCGGGAGTTCAATTGCAGAGTAGACGTACCCCTGCTGGCTCCTGAGGGTCTACAGCATGGGGCTCAGTAGCTGTAGCTGTTGGGCCTGATTCTTTCTTCATGCCGACACGCCTGGAAACTTTTTTCTTTTCCTTACATTGCAGGAGTGGGAGATGAAGCAAACCTAACTGGGGCAGCCAGGCCTTGCCTGCAGCAAACAGACTCGGGCCCTGGGACACACTGAAGAGCCATGAGCCCCTTTTCCCCAGGGAGAGTGGAAGAGGATTCTAGCGAGCCTGGATCTCCAGCAGGGGGATGGGGGCATGGGGAAAGCACCCACCTTCCAAGGGTGGGGACATTTGGCAAGCAGACAAGATTGGGTGTGGGGGAGAGGGGAGGGATATTTGGGAATGGGGCGGGGGGAATCTTTCAAGAGTAAGGCTCCCATGCAGCTGGAATGCCCAGCTCTGGGGAGGAGCACCCCACTGGGACTGGAACGTCAGCCGTCCCCATTGATGTGTTTTGCTCTTGGTAACAAACTAACAGAAACATGGGGGAGCGTGAGCTAGGGGAGAGTGCAGGTAACTCGGAGTCCAAGTGCCTGGGTTCTAGTCTCGATTGTGCCACAGGTGGTCTGTGACTTTAGATTGTGCTTTACCTTCTGGAGCTCAGTTTCCCCCCTCTCTCAAATGTGGGTCAGTATGATCTATCCTCCAGCAAGGGGTGGGGTGAGCTTTCGTTGTAGGCATTACATGGAAGTGGTGCTATTTACGTGTGATTTTTACTGGATTGGGCTATTGGCGCAGTTAGTCCTCTCTCCCAAACCAGAGCAGAGATTGTGTGGAGCTAGCCTAGTCTCCTCCCTCTGCAGCGGCCAAGCCCAGAGGCCCTAGAAGAAAGTGACCATGTCACCATGGGGCTTTCTTGTGCATTGTTTGTTAGATCTCCGACACTTAGAGCTTCTGACTTAGTTGGTGTGCTTCTGCCCTTTTGGAGTCTCTTCTGTCTCATTGCAGGTGTCCTTTCATATTTTTTATACGTCAGGTAAATTCAGCACAACGGGGGAAGAGGAAGGCTATGAAGCTACTACAGCGATGAGGCTAAAACTTTAGTGGCCACTGATTTTGGATGTTTGTGTTGGGGTTCATGAGCCACCCTGGGCTTAATTCTCTGCTCCCCCCCCAGTTTCTCCTGACTGCACATGGAGCTTGTGTGCTCAGCACCTCTGAGCAGTGGGGGGCTAGCTTGTCTCAAGTTTGTAACTTCTTGCTCAACTGTTTTATCTAATTCTTGTCTCCTTCCTGCTGGAAACGGCTGTGGTGCAGGGCAATGCTGCCCCCTGCAGGGCAAGGGCTGACTGCTTTTGGAGAACAAACTCTGGGGAAGCTCTGCTGCCAACACTTGAAAGCACCCCCATTGGGCCTTGCTCAGCATCTTGGCGGGGCCATATGGAGCTGCCTCCTCACAGCACTGTCAGACGGTGAGCTGTGTGGAGAAGGGGATGGGCGAGGGGCGTGGGGGGGAGAAGATGAGGGTATTGCCTGAAATAATGGCAATTTCTCAACACTGCATGCAGGGCAGGGCACCTTCATTTCAGCGACAGCCTGCGGAAGATGAGAAGGGCCAGAGAAGGGGGCAAGAACAGAGAAGGGAAACCATTTCAGCCAGCGTAGTATGGAGAAGAGTAAGCAGAACCAGGAAGCCTGGGGACTAGAGGGAAAGCCCAATGCACTCCTCTTTACCCTTTGGTGCAGTACAGGAACACTGTGCCAGTAAGCTTTCAGTACAACAGAACCTGTGGAACTCACTGCTGCAGGGTGTTCGTATGATAACTAGCTAAGCAACCATTAATAAAAATAGCAACTGCTGGTAAGCAGCTGGGCTCAAAACCATCTGTGTGTTCCTTCCTGTAGCTGCAGCCCGTGAGCTGTTTGGTAGTTGTAAATCCCCCACCCCCAGCTAGTGTCCTCACTAAAGAAATACATAGGGGGAGGAGGGGAAGCAGCATCACTTGTTGTTCATCCAATTTGAATGCACCCTGCATCCACATACACAAGAGCTCAAGCTGGTTTACAGTCAGTCAAAGTACGGTTCAGAGTAGATTATGCTGCAGCAGTGTTAATATTGATTCACTCTCCCTCTTGCTAGCCTCAGTTGTCTTAGTGTCAAACCAGAGTATTGCACCAGTAGGTGCCTGAGTGGGATTTTTCCCTGCCTCGGATGCAGTCAGCATCAGTGAACAGAAGTGAATGGCGCACTTAGATAACCCTATGCTCCTTCCTAAAAGTGCAGTTTTGGGGAGACTCCCCATTGCCTGGCCCCTAGATAGTCTCCAAGCCGTGGTGGGATGCTATGGCTGAGGCTGCTAAAGAACATTGCTGGTCTCACTGCCCTGGCCATGCCCAAGGCTACGCTGTGATTGGTGCTAATTGATAGTTTGGTTGAAGCCTGGGCCTTGTCTCCAAAGATGTGGGAAGAAGGGGAACTGGATGCTTCTGTTCCTTGAAACACTGTCCCCCTCCGAGCAACCACAGCTGCTCCTGCCATATGCTAGAGCATCTCTCAGCATGTCCCTGCTGTGGCATACTGCTCCCTCTGTCTCCTGCAGTTCTGTTTGGCCTTCCTGGCTGAAGGCAGGTGTCACTTCAGGATAGGCAGCCATCCTTTTCTCCTATAACTCAGCCCAGCAGGGGCACAGGTGTGCTCGCTCACTAATGAGCCAGACATATGCTGCTACTTCCCACAAAGAAACTAAGGCTTTCACCGGACAGTGCCTGCCCAGTGCCCTATGATTACAGGATGGGGGCTCGGTTTCTGCATCTCTCAGCCCTGCCGCCTTAACAGAAGCTGGGAGGGGTAGGGAAACAAGCAGGAACGGGGAGACAGAAACGTGGGAATGGCCACACCTGGTGGGCCTCCCTGCTGCCCGGGTAGCCCTGTGCCACTTGTGCCACCTGCTTTTGGATGTGGGGGTGGAAGGCGCCTGGCTCAGCACATTGTGCCCCATGCTTCCTCTCTAAGAACCATCTGCACTTCATGGAGCTGTGTCCTTTCCCCTAATAAAGAGACTGCTGTTCAGAACCCAGGCGGTGCGCATTTACTGAGCTCAGCCAGGGGTGGGCCTGGGCTGGATTTAGGCAAGGGGAGGGGTTAGCTACTCACTCTCACTGGGGGCCTGGTGCAGCAACCCAACACCATGATGCTGCACAGGCCAGGCTTGCTGCTCATGCCCTGGGGTCGCCAGAGCAGAGCTGGTGGTGTGCACACTGGGACCTTGGCAGGGGCAGGCCCCACAGCCTGATCCCTGGCTGGGCAGGTGTAAGATTACAAACTGCTGCCCCTCAGAATCTGTGGCTTTGCTGACACATGGCGTGCTAGCACGAAGTGGGGCTGCTCCGTAACATCTGCTGAAGCCGCTGCCCTCCCTTGTGATGACAATCCACTCCCTGCTGCTCAATAGGATAAGAGGGGGCAAATTGGAGGGGAGGGATGGGCTGAGTCGGAGGTGGGGAGAGGGACTGAATGCACAGGAACGTCAAACAGCTGGAGGCAGGGGAAAGAGGGGGGGAAAATCAGGGGTAGAAGATAGGAGCTGGAGTTAAGAACTAGCTTGAGATGCTGCCAGACAGTGACAGAGGGGGACAAACCCGACATCAGCAGGGGCAGAGAAGATAAAAGTTACCCCAGATGGAGTGAGCCACCTGCAGTGGCTGCAAAAATAGGGTGTTGGGGGCAGGGAGAGGGGGCCAGAGGACAGTACAGCTCAGCACCTGCTTCCCAGAGCTGTGTTCTTAAAAGCACCATGTGTCCCAATGCCTAGGCAAGGCAGCTCTTCCCTGTCTGAAATAATGTCTTGAGCTGCCGAAGGAGGCTTGAATCAGTGAAATATTTCACATACACCCCCTTCCAGAAATGGTAATTGTCAGACAGTTTTTAGAGACTGTATAAAGCCTCATAGCTCATAGACAAATTTGTCTCTTCTGCTGTTCGCACTGCCTGAATTGGACTGCCTGTTTCTTGTACTCCATTGTAAATGGAGTGTCACTCCTTTAAATTATTTCCTTTTTAAAATGCTATTTGAATTACTCGTAGCACTTCGTCATTTAGCTTCATCAGCATTGTGCAGATGGATGTCATTGTGCTATTAAGTGATATTTTAATAGCGAATAATCATTGAAAATAGTAATAATTACTCGTAGCTTCAGCAACAACGTCTCACAGAGTTTCTAGTAGACCACTTCTGGTTGGTATTGCAACGTTAGTTTTTATTTCTAAAGTTTTGTGTTGTTTGTTTTCATTTTTTATGCACAAGTTTATTTTTTGGGATTATATGACATCAAGGCTGACATTTCCTGGTTTGACATCAGAGCTTTTCAGGTGCCTTTGAGCCGCCAATGGGGATTGCCTTTGTCAACAGTTATTTTGCATCTTTATCTAACACCCTAGTGCTTTTTCATGTCATCACTTGTGTCTGGAACTTGGTTCCCAAATATTCACCACAGGCCAGACTTTTAAAGGGTGAAAGCACCTAGATGCTTTTGAAAATCCCACTAGTTGCCTAAATTCTTTTAAAAATCTGACCCTAAGGGCATTATACTGTACTACCTTGTATGTAATCCTTTTCAAAGGCAAACTTCTACTGTGATGTTTAGTAAATATACATTTACAACCTTGAGAGAAACTGACAAGTATTCAAAAACCATGTTCTACACCAAAAAGTCATTAAATTAAAATAAATAAATACATTTAGAGTCCTCTTAATTTGCCTTTTTGTTTCTGAGCCTTTAGGGCACATTAGCTTCATACTTTGCTGTTACCTTTCCCAAAGAATCCATATACCTAAAATCGTTGTACACTCGTATAACATTCTAAATTGGTTAGTCTCTAAGGTGCCACAAGTCCTCCTTTTCTTTTGGCGAATACAGACTAACACGGCTGTTACTCTGAAACCTTTGGATTTCCAGTAATATGTGATTTCCCCCCCCCCCCCTTTGTATTGAAAAATTATTAAAAATCCTTGTTTCTGTATGGTTTCAGAGTAGCAGCCGTGTTAGTCTGTATTCGCAAAAAGAAAAGGAGTACTAGTGGCACCTTAGAGACTAACCAATTTATTTGAGCATAAGCTTTCATGAGCTACAGCTCACTTCATCGGATGCATCCCTCACAAAAAGTTTTTGTATGGGATGCATCCGATGAAGTGAACTGTAGCTCACAAAAGCTTATGCTCAGATAAATTGGTTAGTCTCTAAGGTGCCACTAGTACTCCTTTTCTTTTTGTTTCTGTATGTAATTCCCTGTCCTGCAAACACTGACTTGCACGCTTGCCCCTTCTATTACTTCATTTGTTGCATACATAAATGTTGATTTTTCTATTAAATTGTTGTTCTAATTGCATATTTTAATGCCTTTTATGTATGCTACAGATTTGTTATGATCCATTTCAGTGATATTCCTTACGATTTTCACTGCCAAAATCAATTTTTTAAGATGAATTAGCCTGTTACTCCTTTGCATTGGCTGCCTTTTGGAGAAACCAACGTGCCTTGTCTCCACTATGTTTTTACAGGGGGATAGCTAATGCATAAGTTACCCCATGATAAAAACACACATTTCTGTTCTCAGTGTTAAGTGCCTATAATGTTGACTCAGGTGTTAAATTATTATTCAGAGCCTGACAAGTCTCAGATGGATTGTGGCTAACACTGCTCCTTCGCCACCAGAGGTGTTTGTGTCTGCAGCCTGCCATTGTGTGGGTGTCATGGAAAACCAATTAAAGCATTTTAAATTAAAGGAATTAACAGCAGCATTTCCCCCTTCAATTTCCTTTATCCTCTTCCCTTATAAGGGCCTGCAGATGGTGTGACACAGCTGTGGAGTTGATGCACATAAATTACAGCACCTTAAACCCCTGCGTGAATACTTAAATTCAGAAATAAAGTGGTCTTGTTTTTGAGAATGTCAGTCAGGACAAGCACAGATTGCAGGAGTCCTTCCCCAACAGCTATTAATTATCAGACCTTTGACCTGTCTTGAACATTTTTAAAATGTGGTACAGTCCAGGTGATTTTTCAAGTCCAAAGAGGAGTGAAGTAATGGAGCACTCTAAATATCAGAGGTGTAGGACTGGAAGGGACCTCGATAGATCATCTAGTTCAGTGTGATGGGCACATGCCACCCATAGGGTTGCCAGGTGTCCAGTTTTTGACGCTGGCAACTCTGATCAGTACCGCCAATCAGGCTGTTAAAACTCTGGTCGGTGGTGCTGCAGGGCTAAGGCAGGCTAGTCCTTACCTGTCCTGGCACCATGCTGTACCTGGAAGCGGCCAGCAGGTCCGGCTCCTAGGCAGAGGGGCCACAGGGCTCCGGGCACTGTCCCTGCCCTGAACACTGGCTCCGCACTCTCATTGGCCGTGGTTTCTGGAAAATGGGAGCTGGGGCTGGACCTGCTGATTCCTGCTTCCAGGGTGCAGTGCAGAGCCAGGACAGGCAGGGAGCCTGCTTTAGTCCCGCCGCGCTGCTGACTGGGAGTGGCCGGAGGTAAGCCTGCACCCCAACCCCCTGTCCCAGCCCTGAGCCCCCCCAAACCTAAGCCCCCTCCTGCAGTCCAAATCCCTCATCCCTGACCTCACCCCAGAGCCTGCACCCCCCGCCAGAGCCCTCACCCCCCTGCCCCAGCCCAAAGCCCCCTCCCACACCCTTAACCTCTCATTTCTGGCCCCACTCTGGAGCCATCACACCCTCCCACATCCCAACCCCTGCTCCAGCCCAGTGAAAGTGAGTGAGGGTGGGGAGAGCAAGCCACTAAGGGAAAGGGAAATGGGAATATAGTGAGTGGGGATGGGTTCAGGGGCAGGGCCTCAGGGAAGGGGTGGGGCTAGGGTATTCATTTCTGTGCGATTAGAAAATTAGCAACCCTACCTGCCTCCAGAAGATGGGGGAGGGCAGAGCCATCAGACTATGCAAGACAGGCAACCCATATCTCACAGAGGGGGCAGCTTGGGACAGGCTACCTCCGCCAACCTGCACCAGAGCCTGGGCAGGGTAGCCCAAGGGACCTCTAGAGTCGAGACCGGGGATAGGCAACCTATGGCACACATGCCAAAAGCGGCACAGAAGCCGATTTTCAGTGGCACTCGTCCTGCCTGGGTCCGGCCATCTGCATTTTAATTTAATTTTAAATGAAGCTTCTTAAACATTTTAAAAACCTTATTTACTTTACATCTAACAACAGTTTAGTTATCTATTATAGACTTATAGAAAGAGACCCTCTGTATATATTACTGGCACGCGAGACCTTAAACTGGAGTGAATAAAGGAAGACTCGGCACACCACTTCTGAACAGTTGCCAACCCCTGGTCTAGACGCCAGGCACCGCTACGGGCTGCGGCGTGTAATATTGCAGCCGCCGGCGGCACTAGGACCCGGGGGTGAGAGCAAGGATGATCCTCCTGCCAGCGCCACGCTCCAGCGACAGGCGCCCAAGCCCTGGCTTAAAGGGCAGCTCCGCGCGGTGCCTGCCGGGATGGGGAGCGCCGCCGCGTGTGCAGTGGCTAATGGGAGTTATAGTCCCCACCGCCCTGTGCTGCCGGCAGCATGTACATAGGCCTGTGCCCGCTGACGCGGGGGCTAATGGGAGTTGGAGTCCATGACGCCGCGGCGCGGGGGCCGACGGGGCCTGTAGTTCTGCCGGGGGCGGGCGCATTGCCCGGCGGGAGGCGCTCAGTCACACGCCAGCGGACCAAGGGAGGGAGGCGGGAGCATGGCTGGCAGGTCCCTGCGGACGGCCCGGCACTACCTCATCTCGCTGCTCTCGTTGGGCGCTCGGCGGCCCAGCAGGTAAGGCGGGGGGAGCCGGCTACTCATCCTATGACACAGGGGCCCCGTCCACAGCGTTTCCTGGCCCCGATCGCTCCCCTGACCCCCGTGCTCTCTGTGTGCCCCTCACCGTGGTGCTTGGGCTGTCCGCGCTGTGCAGCGAGGCGGGCGTGGGGGGCTTGGCCGCTGATCCACTGCGGGCTAGCAAGGGAGCCGGGGCGGCTGCACTCTCGGGTGAGCTGTGTGCCACTGCTAAGTACTGCCTGGCTGCTGCTCCGGTGCCCTGCCCAGGCAGACGGGGCTGGAGGGGGGGGGGCGCGGCGCGGCCGGGGTCCGGTGCCCTGCCCAGGCAGACGGGGCTGGGGGGGCCCCGGCGCGGCCGGGGTCCGGTGCCCTGCCCAGGCAGACGGGGCTGGAGGGAGGGGGGGGCGCGGCGCTGTTGGGGTCCGGTGCCCTGCCCAGGCAGACGGGGCTGGGGGGGGGGCGCGGCGCGGCCGGGGTCCGGTGCCCTGCCCAGGCAGACGGGGCTGGGGGGGGGCGCGGCGCGGCCGGGGTCCGGTGCCCTGCCCAGGCAGACGGGGCTGGAGGGGGGGGGCGCGGCGCGGCCGGGGTCCGGTGCCCTGCCCAGGCAGACGGGGCTGGAGGGGGGGGGGCGGCGCGGCCGGGGTCCGGTGCCCTGCCCAGGCAGACGGGGCTGGAGGGGGGCGGGGCGCGGCGCGGCCGGGGTCCGGTGCCCTGCCCAGGCAGACGGGGCTGGAGGGGGGGGGGGCGCGGCGCGGCCGGGGTCCGGTGCCCTGCCCAGGCAGACGGGGCTGGAGGGGGGGGCGCGGCGCGGCCGGGGTCCGGTGCCCTGCCCAGGCAGACGGGGCTGGAGGGGGGGGGGCGCGGCGCGGCGCGGCCGGGGTCCGGTGCCCTGCCCAGGCAGACGGGGCTGGAGGGGGGGGGCGCGGCCGGGGTCCGGTGCCCTGCCCAGGCAGACGGGGCTGGGGGGGGGGGCGCGGCGCGGCCGGGGTCCGGTGCCCTGCCCAGGCAGACGGGGCTGGGGGGGGGCGCGGCGCGGCCGGGGTCCGGTGCCCTGCCCAGGCAGACGGGGCTGGAGGGAGGGGGGGGCGCGGCGCTGTTGGGGTCCGGTGCCCTGCCCAGGCAGACGGGGCTGGAGGGGGGGGGGGGGGGGGGCCGGGGGCGGGGCCGGAGGGGGCGGGGGGGGCGCGGCGCGGCCGGGGTCCGGTGCCCTGCCCAGGCAGACGGGGCTGGAGGGGAGGGGGGGGCGCGGCGCTGTTGGGGTCCGGTGCCCTGCCCAGGCAGACGGGGCTGGAGGGGGGGGCGCGGCGCTGTTGGGGTCCGGTGCCCTGCCCAGGCAGACGGGGCTGGAGGGGGGCGGGGGCGCGGCGCGGCCGGGGTCCGGTGCCCTGCCCAGGCAGACGGGGCGGGACTGGGGGGGGGGGGCGCCAGTGTGCGCTACTGTGGAGGAGGGGGAAGACGTCGGAGCGCAGCCAGGTTAAAACCTTAAAACGCGGCCCGTGGTCCGAGCTCCTCCGTTTTGGGAGGCCACCTTGAGGGCCTCGGGCATGGTTTTCACCTGGGGCTGTGCGCCTCCCACCCGCGGGGGAGCAGGGCCAGCAGCCTCAAGCCGCTCCCCGGGCCAGGGCCGCTGCTGAGTGCTGGCCTGGCCCGGAAAGGGGAGGGGGCCCCTCCCAGCAATGAGCCGACCCCCCCCTTGACTTGCACTTCTGTTTTCAGCTTGTCCTTCCTGTTCCTAAATCAGGTGTAAATAGGTACTATATTTAATTTAATCTCTAGCAATAAAAGGAAGAAAAATTGCTGGGTGCTGGTACTGAGAGGAGGAGAAGGTAACTGAAAGTAAGGAGGAACAGGTGTTAATCACTTCTGGGGCACAAGGGCTAGTAATTCAGTCTATGTATTTCAGGAAAGCTCCAACCATAGACCTTGCTGGAGGTGTGTTCACTGCAGTCATTTTTAAGGCTTTTAATGAGAATGTGGGTGGCCCCTGTTTCTTTTTGAGGCCAGAAACAAATGTAGCTGCAGCTGGTCCATGACCAAGTCATCTAGAGACTGCAATAATACAAATAAATAATCATCTTGGGGCATATGTGTGGGGAAATTAGTATATGCTGACAAAGCTCTAGGTATGGAATTGTTGCAGTGTGTATATAGAAAGCAAATTGTTGTCTAGAATTAAAAAAAAAAAAAAACCATAAAAACCAGTCTTGGCTACACAAGGGAAAATGGCACACAAGTTCCCATTGCTTCTGCTGCACTGATGGAGGGCATAGTGTGGACAGGCTCCCTGTAGCTGAACCTGTTGTAAAAACTCTTCTAAATACATGAGCTTACAGAAGGTTTAACTAAAATAGTTTTAGAAGTGGGTCTTGGCTGCAGGAAACTTGCTTACGCAGGGGATCCCACTGGTGCAATGAACCTTTGGAAAAATTTGGTGAAACATCCTGGGTATAGACATAGCTATCTTAATGGAATCTGAATGTGTATTAAATGGATTTTCAGATAACTAATCAGAAATAAGAGACACAAAGTGGAGACGTAATATCTTTTATTGGGCCAACTTCTGCTGGTGAAACAGGAAGCTTTCAAGCTTACACAGAGCTCTTCAGGCAGATGCCTAGTGCTTTTCCACTTTCTCATTCACCAAAAGAAGCTGGTCCAATAAAAGATATTACCTCACCCACCTTATATCGCTAATATCCTGGCATCAACATGGCTATAGCAACACTGCAAACAATAATCGTGAAAGCAAGATGTATTTTGAAAAGCACATTCTTTGAACAGTTCAGCTTGCCTCTAAAAGGAAGTGGTTGTATAGTAAATGCAGTGGGACAAGTTCTGCCCTCACCTCCCACTGACTTTATCTCAGTGTTAGAAAAGCAGACAAGTGGCCTTATGAATACAGTTCTGTGCCTCTATAAACACCTTGCAAAAGGCTTTTAAATTTGTCAATTAGTGTAGTGTTGCTGCTTTGTCCATTACATATATAACTTAATATTTTATATTCTTAAAGTGTTTCTTGGGCTTAGTTTCTAGCAAGATTTGAATACAGTTGTACTGTGTATCTGATTGGGGTAGTTGACTTCTGTTTTGGGTGAATTAACCTGGAGGCTTAATTTGGAGTGTCCATTCTACGTGAGTCCCACTTCAGACCTTGTGTTAAAGCACAACTGATGTCTACTAGTTGGTTCCTTGGTTGAAATGCAGACAGCAGAGAAGGGGAAAGACAAAGGGCTCACAGGTTTATTCCAGATTTATCACTCTAAAGGGAAATAAGAAGAAAATTTAAGCAAAATAAAATGGAGAGTTCCCATATGTGCTTTGGGGACTGCTGGGCTTGGGGTTTGTAGTAAAAGCATGTTATGTCCAGAAATCCTCCCCTTCATGCACTCTTGTGTACTGGGTAATTATCCTTGTAAATGTGCTGTCAGCTTGAAATAGGTGTGGCCTCTGATCTGTAGATGGTGTCATTGGGATTGTTCATGACAGACAGTCAAGCCGCATCAGTAGTGTGAAACCAGTCCATAGATGCAAAATGTTAAATGTATCCTCCAATTGCACACTATCATGCTAATAAAGTGACTGTTAAGTGGATGATTGCATTGCAGAAAGTGACATTCAGATTGGATTGTCTGTCCTGGGTCTTTGACATGTGTGCCTGGGATGTGTAACTGATTATCATTAGAGAAGCAGGCTTCCTCACATCCAAAAAGGGAACATGGAGAGAAGCTTGAATTGGGAGAAGAGATAATGAGACAGGTGGGTGTTCAGAAAGTGGATCAGGGAACCTTCAGACTGTTGTATGACATCCTGTATGGTGGAAGGAGAGATGGTGCTATGTATCTTATCACACACCTACCCGTCTCATCATTTAAAGTTTGAGGTTTAAGGATAACTGGATTAAACTATATGGATAGATTTGGGTGTTGTCCCCTAAATCCTCTTCTACCCCCACTGATCTGCCCATCTCTGGCACTGGTTTCAGAGTCTTTCACACCCAGCTCACTCCTTCAGAGATTTCCCCAGTGCTGTCACTGTCATGTCAGAATTTCCTAACTTCCTCTCGTATAATTACTCTCTATTCATAGTTGTTTTCAGTGTTGATGTGGCTATGTTGGTCACAGGATATTAGAGATGCAAGGTGGGTGAGGTAATGTCTTATTGGATCAACTTCTGTTAGTGAAAGAGACAAACTTTTGAGCTACACAGAGCTCCTCTTCAAAGAAGTTGGTCCAATAAAAGATGATACCTCACCCACCTTGTCTCTCTATTCCTAGGAAAACTGGGGTTAACACTGTGTCTGGAAGGCGGGACAGTATTACAGTAGCTGCAGATAAACACTTGTTTGTTTCCTTAGTGTAGTATGCGCCTCATATCTCTTAGGAAGAAGCAAACTGTGCAGCTTTTTCCTGTGTTCCATTCCATATGGCAGTTCTGAGCAAACCCCTTTTAAACATTGCTCTGTGAGAGAGCTCTTGTTCCTCCTCTGCCACATGAGGCAGGCTAATCCAAACAGCATGTGGGAGTTGGGACTTTCTGTAGGATGAGGGTGTGTTTTGAGACTTGGATTTGGTTTCAGTAGCTTGGAAAGGGAGTCCATGCAGGCAGCTCTCTGCTTCACGTAGGCAGGTTTCTCTGGCTGAAACTCTAGCTCGTTTATTCCTCTCTCGCTCTTGCGTGCATACACACCCACCCACCACAAGTCACATGCAATCAGCTCACTAAACTTCTGTTCCTGGGAAGTGAATGAGCAGCAACACCTTGAAATATCTATATAGGGTTTTAAAGCAAAATTTGTCTGGATCTGTGGATTATAAAACTGTAGGTGATTGAGCTGCCAGTTACATTTCAAGGCTATTTTGGCTGAATGGTTCATCTGCTGCATGTTTGTTAACTTCAGTGACTGAAGTTTATGTAAATGAAATGTAAAAAGTTTATGGGTCAGAAGTCATAATTAAAATTCATATACTCAACCCATATACACTTTTTCCTCTACAAAT